GGCAACTATGGACTGAAGCGCTTTAGTGAAATAGTTATTAATAATACTGTACGTTAGATCAGTGTTTCTCAACCTTTTTTACTGGTGGCCTACTTGTGAATGTTATTTATCTCTGGGCCCCCCCCCCTCCACGTTAGACGCGTGGGTATGGAATCTCCCCTGGAGGGGAGGGGGTTATACCCCGAGAAATTTTTGAAATTTTAGTAGCTTTATAGGTACGTGTTTTTAGACTCATTTACGTCTTTCCCAGACTGCACAAAAATGTATAGATTGACATTTCAATATTTTAACATTTTAGATTAAATCAAAATTAATTTGAGTTATTTAGGACAAATTAACAATGGTTTTGGTGCTGGTCATTGGAAGGCTGCTAAGCGGTCCTGCGGCACCCGTTTAGCGCATTTTTTAAGAATTAAAAAATGTGCTATTGTTTGCGTTTTGTCCGTCAGTCCGTACCCACTTCTGCCGCTTCGAGCTACTTCTAGGGGTATGGTCCTGGAATTTTTTGCAGTAGGTTCAGTAGGCCATCAAATTTCGATGTCTAAAAGGAGGGCCTCCCACGAATTATCTCTTATCAAAGTTCGAGGAAGAGGGGGAGGAGTGAACTAGTTGTATCGGAAGAGGGTACTCACAAAGGGCGATTGAGACGTCTGCAAGAAATATATCTATTGGTGATGTCCAAACAAAAGCTATTTCAGTTAAAAAAATGCGCTTTATCTGCACAAGAGTTCTGCACAATTTATACTTGTTTTGTATTAAAATGGATAAAATCTCAAGCTATTAAATTAGTCGTAGATAAAGTAGAGTATATTACTCGCAATAATGGCTATTATACCCTCGGAATTTTACTCCCTCGTAAATATTCCTCGAGAATAATAGCTATCATTATTGACTCGTGATATAAACTACTATTATAGTAGAATGGTCATATAGTCCTACAAATTTAGTGGCACGTTTTCTCAGTCCTATGCCTGGGAAGTTTTTTACACCTGCGCAGATCATTAGCTACCTCTATCGAGAACTTTCACAGGGGAAAAACTTATTTTCTCCATTACAAAGCATTATTACTTGTTGAAGGATCCCCGTAACTTTTGAGGCGATTTTGATTGATGGAATTTAATCGCGCAGTGGTTGTAGATTGTCACCTTCCTTTCATTCACACGCCGTATCGAGGTGCACGTCGTTTAATAAAAAAATAAGCCAAAATCGTGAGGTAGAACGCATGGAATCTTAATTGCCATGTTCCGTATGTATTGATCTCTGGCGATTGGATTCATACTTTGGGGATTCCAAAGTAATTAATGGACGGAATTTAGCTATACTTCTAGAGAGGATATACATTTGCGTTCTTCCTTTCTTATCGTAAGTATACCGCTATTTGCATTTCGTTGATTTAGAGTGGATCTTCTTTAGGAGCGATACTCAAAAGGGACAACTCTTTAGCGTCTTAGTTGATAACCATTTTACCCCTGTGCAACACTGCGCGTTTACCGAACCACCAAGTTCGCAGAAGTGGTTGGTCGTGGAAACAGATGTCACTTAATGGATATGTAAGTAGACCGAACGGTGCCTTATTCCAACAAAAATGATGGTGCAAAGTACCTTTTGAAATTTTCATCATGCCTGCGTAAAAGCGGACATCAAATGCTCGGATCTCGAATTTTGCTCCGGTATCTCTTGTTATAACGTTGCTGAGCTTCAAATTGGCGATGAAATCCATTGACAGATGGATCAAACTGTCAAACTTTTGTTTACAGCAAAAGAACGTTTTGTTTTTCCAAAGCACTCTATTCAAAAAATTAAAAATTGTATTTTTAGCAAAAATGTGATACTGAACCACCTTGTGCGATATATCGTTGTAAAAAGAAAAAAAACGTAATCCCAAAATGTCAAAATTCAGTATGGTGCCCATAAGAAAAACTAAAATTGCCACGTGTTTCTCGGTCATCTTGAAAGTTATTAAAAACAGGATGCCATATTTGAAATCTCCATTAGAAAGTGTCCGAATAATGTGTTCATTAGAAATGTCTTCTACGATTAGTTTATCATAAAAAAATTAAAAACGAAAATCTCTTATCTTCAAAACTATTGAAGATATTTCAAATTTCTTATTCAGCACGAGAATTGGCAACTTTGCCCCCATTTAACCAACTTTCTATCTCTTAAGATAAGTGAGATCCCAATAGTGGCACTCGAAAAATGGACACCGTGCATATACGAGTAGTGCGGGCGACAAATTCAGTAAAGGGCATTGTAAAGGTTCAAACGGTAAATCGTGAGAGAAAGAATTTTATTTAATGTGTTTTTAGGGACACTGCTGAATCCGATTTTGCCGGTCACCACCTCGAATTCCGGCTGGTAAGGCCTCAAATCAAGATGGCGATCAAAATGGCGACAAAAACTCTTTTTAACATTTTTAACAAGAATGTCAATGATTTTTATGTAATACGTACGTTTTCCACTTACTATTTTATGAAAAATTTTGAAGTCAATTAAAATTAGGATGGTGGCTGAAATGGCGTTCCAAACACCGAGTTTTGTAGATTCCATGTGTGCGCAGGCGTTCGATAGAGCAGTACGAACTATCAAATTTCAAATTAAGATATTGATTTGTCAGGTTACTCAATTTACTCGAACCAAGTAGAACCAATTTGATCCAAATAGGTACCAACAAATAAATAGACTCTCAATAAATACTTAAAATGTAATTATTAATTTTTTTAGAAGTGTTAAAAGTTACCATTTTTGTAGAAAATTACTCTATAATATACATCACATTCGTTTAATTGGCTTCCTGGCTTCGACATGAGGAAACTTTTAAGTTGACCTTGATCTCATCATCTGAATATAATCGTCACCTTGACAAGCAAAGTTTAAACGTTCAACAAACTGTGGACTTTGATGTTAACTTTTGTACTTTACACTAACCTTTGGACTTGAATGCCGAGGAATGGACTTTGACCGTTCGGTAACTTTTAGACTTTACACGAATCCTTCAACTTTGACCGGAAACCAATCTTTAGACTTTGAACAGCTGCGCATGGACTTTGATCGACTTAGAACAGGTGTGTAATGGACTTTGCCCGGTCAGCAACCTTTGGACTTTGCCCGATGAACAACCTTTGAACTTGAACAGCGGGTGGACTTTGATCGATAGATTGACCTACTTTTACAATGGACTTTGGCCGGTCAGCAGCAACCTCTGGGTTTTGAACAGCGGCGAATGGACTTTGTCCCGATCCTCCTTGAAATGTGCGCATGCGTCATTTTAACGCACAACCTTAATCAGTAAGTTGGACTTTGAACGTTTTAGAACAGGTGTGTAATGGAATTTGATCGGTTAGCAACCTTTGTACCTTGAACAGCGGAGAATGGACTTTGAACGATTTGAACTTTGAACAATGTGGACAGTATGGCGCTTAGTTTGACTGTTTGTATACGATATATAGGGTAGTATTAAAATAATCATTATTCGTTTAAATTTATACTATTTATTACCGTGTACAAATTATGCATAAAAAAATAAATCGAAAACAAAACAAAATTAAAAAAATTAGAAATGAGCAAAAACATCAAGACGATTGATAATTTTTATAGCACGATCGGTGATATACCAACGACTGTTTTTCAAACCTCAAAATTGATACGAATTCGTCAAAATTCGTTTCGTGCTACGTACTTCACGCGATTTAAGGACGAAGATTTAAATTGAAATCTTGACGATGCGTGTTATTTTATATTTAAAACACAATTTGGCAACATTTAGAACGCGCTAAATAATTGGTGACGATTACATCCCTCTCCGTTAACCAATCTGCGTTTTTTTTTGCGAATTTCGCATTAAGAGCTTGACAGTATTGTAAAACTTTTTATGAGTTCTTTTTATAAAATTACATTAATACTGGTAAAAAGGAGGAAGAGATTTTTATTTCGAATGTATTGTTATGAGCACTTGAAATTCAAATACTTTTCTTCTTCATTTTCTCCTAGATCTCGAGATTACGGATTTAAATTAAAAGAATTTTAAGTATAACCCGAAGGGGAAATCCCAGTTTCATTAAAATATATAAAGCAATTTAAAGTCAGTTTTTACATTTATATTTTAAACTTACACAAAATACTTTCTCGGCGAAGTACGGAATTAACTTCGGGAAGGGAAAGTATGTTTTAATTGCATTAAAATATTGTATATTTTTCAAATTCAAGTTTAGGGGGGAATTGGAATTGCTTTCTGTGTTTTTTGGCCGTTTGTCGTCGCCTTTAATTTTTTTGCGTTATTGTGTAAGTGTAATAAGGACGGAAAAGTTGCACGTTTATCGTTTTAAGTGATTTCGCAGCGGCGAAGCTTAAATTTTTTATTTACATTGAAGGAAAAGGCCATTAGTTTTAAAATTAAAATATACATCACTCGGCCAGTTTTATAAATCGCAAACACCGAAGCAAAAACAAATGGCACCCCCGTTCGTTCTCTTGCAATATTACACTATGAAATTTATGGTGAGTTATAAAGAACGCAGCTACACTTGCCATTAGCGAGAGCAGTTTGGCTTTTTATGGTGGACCACAATGTTGAATGTTATAAAGACGTGTTGACTTTTACTGATTTATATTTTTACTATGTTCACATTTTCGCTAATATTAAAATTCCGAACGTTCGGCCCTTTCAAAAAAATTGAATGGTAGTAACGTATGCTTTTGTTACGTATTACGTATTTGAATCGTTAGTTCAATTCAATAGCGCAAAAGGCAATAAAAAATGTAATAATATTACATTGTTTTCGCACAGAAATGATGATAAAATACCAGAAACGAACTTTGCAACTGTAAAAATGTAATTTTAATAGAAATACGGGTTATTACATTGCAGATGCGATTTATTTTTTCATCGTACGAACGGCTTCAAAATGTACGAGTATGTTATAAAAGAAATGGAAACAATGTAATCAAAACTATAAAATATCCAAAAGCGCTATTTTATCTTTTATGCCCTTTTGTTGCAGGTATACCAGGCTCTCGTTATTTCGAAAGGGTGTACGCTAGGAACGGAGAAACGATCTGGATTGAAGGACTGCATGCTGCCGCCTTCTTTATTTCTCTAACTAGTAAGTAGCTATTATTATACTTTTTTTCAGGGTGGTCACTATTACATTTAAATCGTTTTGTTTATTTTTGAAAATTTGTGCCATTTGTCAGCTTAATTGATGAAAAATATATTGAAAATGGCGGCACTTTGATTCCTGTGCATATCCAACGTTTATGACTTAATTTATATTAACTTTTATGAAAGGAAATGGCGGTGACAGCAACAATTGAATATCTTTTATATTTTGGAGTCTGTAACTTTAGTGACCTTTTGACATACAATTTAATAGGGTTCCTACATTTCTGAGTATGCAATTGTCCCCGTTGATTCCGGAACCTCGAGCGCCACCAGGAGATCCTCACATCTTGCTCCTGGTCAAGGGTGGTCGGTGCCGGTTGCGGCAATTCTGAAGCCACAGGTAAATCAGTTGTTGAAAACGGCGAATCCAGGGGTATTACGGGTAAACGGCTGGCGGTCGGTCATTGGAGAATACTCTAAAACAGAATTACGGCACATAGTCCAGGCTAAATAGCTCTAAAATAATTTATTTTCAAAAAAAATTAGTTAGGTACCGGGCGAAACCGGGTTTTTCAGGCAGATGAAATGAATAGAAATTAGGAAAAAATATTTAAAACAGCTGAATTTTTCTGCGGGTAAAATCCCGAGGGCTGAAAGGGGGTGGAAAGTGGTGTTTTGCAAATTGTGGCAAAACTATTAATTTTAGACGAAAGTGTTCAGTGTAAAAGTTATAGAGATTAAAAAAATGAGCAACTTTTGTATGTGCACTATTTTCAGATAACCTCAAATTTTCCTAGGAAAACCGGAAAAACTGTTTTTTTCGTTTTTTATTCTTATTTTTGCGGAAAAAAGTCGCACGGGTTTTAAATTTGGAGGAAATATAGCTTGTTTTATGATAAAAAAGAAGATAAGTTTTTGGGCCCATAAAGTTGAACCGTTTCCAAGATCTCACGATTTCTGAAAAACCACCTCTTTTTCAAGGGGATGAAAAACGATTTCTGAAAAACCACCTCTTTTTCAAGGGGATGAAAAATCTATTTTTTTTCATCGTACAGAGGTACGCGAGGTAGTAAAATTTTCGTAAAGACTTACATTTTAATAATCAAAAATAAGAAATATTATTCCAATAGAAAAATGTTAAGAAAAGCGGCAAAATATACCGTTTTTGACAGTAGGTAAATAGTTTTTTTTGCAACTAAATTAACGCAATTAAGCAAACATTAAAGAGAAGGAAGAAAACAGATTTCGAAAAAATTTATTATTAACATCCAACATGTTGATTTATCATGTCAAAAACCGTGTATCTCTTAAAACTGTTTTTCCATTTTTTGGCGATTTTCTCGAATTTTTCTTTAGGAATAATATTTTTTATTTTTGTTTATTAAAATATGTCTTCCCAAAAATTTTTCTACCCCGCGCACCTCTGTACGATGAAAAAAAATAGATTTTTCATCCCGTTGAAAAAGAGGTGTTTTTTTCAGAAATCGTGAGATCTTGGAAACGGTTCAACTTTACAGGTCCAAAAAATTATCTTCTTTTTTATCATAAAACAAGCTGATTCCTCCAAATTTCAAACCCCTACGACTTTTTTTCGCAAAAATAAGAATAAAAAACGAAAAACAACAGTTTTTCCGGTTTGTCTAGGAAAATTGGAGGTTAATTGAAAATAGTGTAGATACAAAAGTTGCTCATTTTTTTAATCTCTATAACTTTTACGTTGAACATTTTCGTCTAATATTAATAGTTTTGCCACAATTTGCAAAACACCACTTCTCACCCCTTTCAACCCCCGTGATTTAACCCGCGGAAAAATTCAGCTGTTTTAATTATTTTTTCCCAATTTCTATTCATTTCACCTGCCTGAAAAACCCGGTTTCGCTCGGTAACTAATTTTTTTTGTAAAAAAAATATATAGCCTGGACTAACACGGTAAAACATTTAATTAACCATGCTAGAAAAGCGAAAACAAGGAAAGAGACCCCTTTTTAACAATGGTAATAAAAAGTGTCAAACACCTTGAAATTACACGGTACAGTTGGATAAATAAAAAAAAAATTCGATAAAGCCTAAATGCACACGTTGCCACGAAGCAAATGCTACATCGCCCTCTTCCCTTTTATAAAATTCGATAATTTCGAGAAGGAAAAGCTGGGTTTCCCAAGCAGTACGGTAAACTCGGTTCATAATGCTCAAAATTAAAACTTTAACTAATTGCTCGGTCATCCTAAGAACCTGGGAAGCGGTTTGAACATCTTGATAAATTAGAGCGCTTCCAATGATACTAAACAACCTAAGCAGACGAGGTTTGCTGCGACACGCTTGATTGGAAACCGGTAATTATACTTACTCAATTGGCCGGGTTGAAATTCGGAAATTCGGTAGTACAGTCCCATTGTTACTTAAAATAATCGGGTCAAATGAGATGTGTGCGTGTCTATCGTACTACGGCGACTTTTATCGTTGTAATCCTGGCAATTGGGGGCTTTAAAATCGGTTATTAATTAATAAATGGAACGAAAATCACAAAGTTATTAAATAAACAAACGTTTGTAACGAGTTCGTTGCAATTGGTTCAGAAGTGGGATTCAATAAATAAATTAAGTAAAATGGAAGAAATAAAGCTCCAGCTACTTCAAGAAGTGAAGAGTGGCAAACAATAAATTCAATTAAGGATTTCTGACATTTAAGACCGAATTACCGATGCGGACGGCCAGGTAGAAATGGTAAAAACTCAAGTAAATGAGAAGATTTGCTACATCGAATATGAAGAACTGCGTCGGGAATTCCTGCTGTTGACCACAGATGGCCAAAGTGACCACAGCGAGTCACGCCATGCTGTGAGTGGGGAAGAATCACTATTACCCCCTCATTGGACTGTTGTCGAGGAGGTCAGCAGTGTCGAAGAAGTTGCTGTTCCGCAGAAGATGCTGGTTAAACCT